TACTCATGCTATGTAGAAAGTTTGAGCTAATTTTGACGAAAATTTTTCGAGTTATGAGCATTTTTATGCTTCATGTACATGTGTGGGTTTTGGTCTTTTGGAGCGACTTTTTAAAAATTGTAAAATATAGCTGTACACTTAATTAACTACATGTACAATCAATTTACTAACTTGCTATTCTTATCTCTGTCACAATTATATCTTGAATACTGTATCTCAGGATGCCGCACCTCCAACTGGTTATTAAAACCACACCCCCAATGATTATCGAACCCTCTCCTCCTGCCAACATGACGTGAAGACCTCATCGTCAAATAAGGAGCTTTAGAGTCTCCATCAATATCTCTGTCCACTCTACTTGATCCACTTATTAATGACATGTTCCATGGAACCGATGGACTTGCATCGATTATGGCGTCTCTTTTGACCACACCACCTACTCCTCCCCCTTTCCCTCCTAGTATGTCGTGTGTGAGGGTGTGGCTTTCTTCTCCTGGGGCAGAGCCGGTCAGACTGGTTGCTGAAAGTGGATTGGCAACGTTACCAGTTGATGAGATTGTGTTGTTGCTTGATGAAGGAGGAGGAGGAGGTGATGGAGATAATTTAGCCAATGATTGTAACCTAATAATTAATAATAAAAAAGTGATGTTCATTTTGTACATTTATATGTAGCATTACATCAATGAACCTTTGTATTTTTGACTGTGTAGTACACTATAAAAATATAGACTATAGAATAGATGTACATACACTATAGAACAGATGGTCAACATATTTCCTCTTATTTTACATTACTACATGTATTTGCACAAATATCACATTTGTCCAAATACATGTACCATATAGCTAGAAATTTTGGAGTGCTAAAATTTGGTAAATTGACTCTAAAAGAGGTTTGGAGGTTAGAATTTTGGTGAAATTTAACTCTGTGTATGCTTATATGGAGCCTTATCAAATTGGAGACTAAAAATTTGGCGAATGGACCTCAATTCTCCAAATTCACCAAAGTTTTACTCCACCAAATTTTCTAGCTATACAGTAGTATTAGAAATATGCAAGTACATAGTGGAGTACTACAAATATGATGCATGACAAAAGATCAATGATCAATATAATTGGTAATGTTTTATTTAATTAGATCTATTTAGTGACAGTAGTATTGTTGAGGCATATCTTAAACCACCAATCCAAGAAACAGGTTTTAAAATATTATACTGTACTGTTTCATTTCAGATGGTGAAAGTAATAACAAAAGAAATGAAAAAAGTAGTAGTGATGATGATGAGAAAATTGATGAACTTAAACTTTACAATCAAAGATAATATGTGTACTTTTGACTGCATGTGTAGTGCATTAGACTCAGTAGACTATAGTTAATGAACAACTTAACAGTAAAAATAGCATTTTTAATTCCTTTTATCATGAACCAAAACAGAACCCACAAAACAGCTCCAGTGGGTTTTAGTATGTAAATTTTGGTTGATTTTCTATAGTGTACCTACTATTACAATCAATCAGGTCAAAAGGAATTCCTAGTATTGACTATATAAACTATTCTAATTTAACGAAGAGTCGGCTTTGAGTTTGACTATAACTTCAAATTATGAGCAAAGAAGGGGCAGAAGGGGCGAGTGGAGGAGAAGAGCAAGTCAAAGACTTAGAAACTGAACTCCAGCAGTATAAGAAGAAGCTTAAGGATGCTGTTAAAGATATCAAAGACTTGGAAACTAAACTCAAGCAGTATGAGGAGGATGCTACTAAGCATGCCAAAGATTTAGAAATGAAGGAGCTTGGCGATGACAGAATAAAAGAAGAGATGTGTCACAAGTTACAAGAAAGTAACACAACATGTAGATGCAAAGTGTGAATTGATTTTCAACAATAATGTAGGTGCTAAAGAAAAGGACAGGCTCATCAAAATGCTAATTCAAAAGCTTCAAGCCACGGAAGAAGAGTTGAAAGAAGCTAAAATAACACATAAAGACCGTATGAGTAAAGGTAGCTACTGTAGCAGATTGTACGATTCATTATGCTTTATTATTAGCAATAAATGACAATGTAAGCAAAGACAGTCAGATTGCCCAATTAGTGAAAAAAAGTCAAAATCTACAAGAAAAGCTTACTAAGAAAGAAGCAGAGGTGGAAGTAGTCAAATCACATGCAGTTCACATGAGTACAGGTAGCTTGAAACATGTATTTACATTATGACATGCTTTATTATAATAGAGCTGACTGAAAAAGAAGAAGAGATTGCCATGCTAATAAATAAAATCACTTCATTAGAAGAAAAGCTACAACAACAGATACAAGAGGCAAAGGAGAAGTTGGAAGAGGAACAACAAATATGCAGAGTGCAAATAGAAGAAGTAAACCAAACTTGTGCTCAGAGGACCAAAGAAATACGGCGTGAAGTTGAAGAACAGCTACAGATTGTGAGGCAAAATGATAGACGAGAGATAGCCAAGGAAGTGGTGAAAGAAGCTATAATGGAAATCCCAGAAATTAAAACAATATGTCAACAGCTAGAGGCTATGAATCAAAAAATAGATAAAATTAGTAAAGAAAAAGAGGAATCCAGCATCCCCACAGTGATCACAACAAATGCAGTGGCAGAGTCCAATCCTACTGGAACACATTCTTACGGATTTTGTACACTGTCAAGTATACAACATAATAATAATTAATAGTAATGCTTTTATTATTTTCAGATCCATCAAGTGACTATAGTGTTGAGCCACATCTTGATTCACCAATCCAAGAAACATGTAACTTTTTCGAATAATAACCATACTATATACATGTATATTTTTATTTCAGATGACAAGAATATTGATAAAGATGACAATAACAAAAGCAGCAATGATGAAGATGACAAAAACTGATGACA